TGTTTCTAAACAGAGTCAATAAAAAAAGAAGTTTACATTTATTTGTTGATTCTTTCAAGCGCCATTTCCGTTTATTAGAAATAAAATTTTTTATGCGGAAGTCAATAAAGAAGAAGTTTATAAGTTACAATAATTGTCTTGAAAAGAAGGAATATTTTTAAAAAAATTACGCGTGAAAAAAAAAGGATTTTTATAAAAAAAATTACGCGTGAAAAAAGGGATTTTTATAGAAATATTTCGTGGGAAACTGATGATTGTGATAATCAGGTCCGATGCATGATTATTTTGCATGAGTCATTTGATCATTTGATCAATGATATCTATGTATATATTTATTTTGATTTTTCGATTTAGAGTGCCGAGTGTCCTTAAAATAGATCATAGATCGGGGTTCAGGTTAGTCCGCTGAGTTTACCCAGAAAAAAAAAAAAGATTATCCTAGACCGCAACTGTATTAATCACGTGGCGATTACAGTTCACCCTCACTATAGTGAATCCCATGGGCTGGAGATTAAAATTCGTTATAGTGAGAAATTCACTATCATTATAGCAAGTTATTCAAGTTATTCGTTATATAAAAATTCGCTATAGAGAGGGTGAACTGTACTCTGAAAAAACTTATTTATATGGGGGTTTAGGATAAAGAACCTGGACCCGGTTCAGGATAAATTTGTCCTTATTTCTATCCGGTAATCTTTTTAACATTGTCATATTATTTTTGTTAATTAACGTTAACTCTCATTTTAATTCTTTTCAGCTTTTAATGGCTTTAGATTTTGGCATCAGAACGTTAAGTTCAAAACACTATGAGTTTTCCTTTAGAAACTTATCTTCTTAAACTAACTATCTTCTTTTTTTCTTTTTTTGGTTGTGCTTTTTTGCGATTTCATACTTCACCTTTTCTATTTCATTTTCACTTCATTATATTAACATCATATAATGGGCTCATTTGTATCACGCGATATGTTAATAACCGCACTCTGACCATTTTAACTTTTTTTTTAAACTTAAAAAAGTTTAAAATTTTTATGTTTAAAATACTTCTTAAAGTTTTTTTAATGAAACGTACCCTCTCTTGCTTTTCTCATTTCCTTCTCTCCCTCTCGTTCTTCCTTTCCTCTCTTTTAATTCCCATTCCCTCTTTTCGTTCTTTCCCTTTCGCCTGTTTCTCTGCTGTTATTGTTATTAAACGTCTTTCTTTTTAGGTTTTGTCTTGTCTACTGCTTCTTCTTGACTTGGACCAAGTTATTATATAAGTCTTTTAATACAATTACTTCTGGGAAATCTTTGGTAACCACTAAGGAAGGACGCGATATATTTGTTAGGTTTGGAAATTTTTGGTAAAAGTGGTTTTTTTTTGATCGAATGATCGATATTGCATCAACCATTTTGAAAATGGCGAACAGAATCCCAGATAAGTTTGAAAAATTTTGAAATTTTCTAAAAAAACTATTTTTCAACATTTTAATTCGGATTTTTCTATGCATTACATGAATATTGACAAGGTTAATTAAGTGTTATTTTATTAACATTAGTAATTCTTCATGAAATTCTTTAGTCATTTTTAATCCAAAGGCAAGCAATTGATTTGTCTGGCTCTTCACAAACAAATTAATGTAAGTATCACGGCATTTAATGTTTTCACTTATTAATTTAGATTTATTTTATTTTGATAAAATTTCCCTTCTCTTTTTTTATGAACTTTGGAACATGATTGGGACTTGTATCAAATTACACTAACTTAATTTTCTAATAGAATAACATATTTTTTTACTATATGATTATTGCATTGAACACACATTTACTTGGAGTTTACTATATATTTTTTTTATTAATTTACAATATGTTATAATGCAAACAATACATTATATTACAAATTTATTATACAGATACTTCTATTATTTAAATCGTTTATACAGTTACTTTTCATTATTTATATTATTACTTTGAATTAACAATACATTTCCTACACTTTAACTACACATTTTTTATATTAAAAACATATCGCTGCGTCAAGTTTAACATAAAATAGCCATACGTCTACTATATTAAATGGCAGCTATTTAGCTACTATATAGTCCCGGTTTCGCAGGTTTCAGCAAAGATTAATGTTCTTAACTATTACTTCGCAATCAAGTATGGCCAATGAAATTTTAGGATTGAGTGTAACACTTTAATAATATTACGATATAATTACGTACGATTGATGATCATGTGATTATCACTTCGATTATAACGCTTCGAACGTCAAACAGTTACACTATAAAATAAATAATATTTGAAAATTTGATATTGCTATTATTAAAACTTAGTTGTAAACCCTTTGATAAAACTTTTTTGGACCAATAATTATTTAATTCGTTATTATGATATTACAGTATATTAAATACTCTGCGGCAGTCAAAGGAAATTTTTTTTTTTTGTGAATTCCGTTCAGATTACTAAGAGCATAGCAATCAAATTTTATCAGTAATGTAAGAATCAACTCAAAACTCTAAAGATATACGCCAATTTTTAAAATTTTTGTTTATAAACCAACCAATCAAATTCACATTACATTATGTTAAATTTGTGTAAAACATTATTTGATCAGCAATTTTCGGAGTTTGGCTCCGGTTTTAATTACACAAATTTAGTTTTATTCATAAGTTTTCAGGGTTTTTTTATTCCTTTTTAAATTTTTTCTTTTTATTATAATCGAATAATTCAATACCATAAAAAATTATTCTGAAATACTCCAATTTGAAAAGATTATTAAGGATAAAAGAATCATGTCTAAACTTAACAAAGATGTTCTTTTGTTGATTTTTGAAGAGTTGCAAGAAGATTCCAAATCTCTCTTTTCATGTCTAATGACTAATAAATTTTGGTGTGAAACTGTTATTCCAATTTTATGGAAGAAGCCTTGGTGTTATAATATTAATTATTATAACAAAAATTTATTATACTCTATTATTACTTTTTATTTAGCTGATAATATTAAAGAATACCTAATAAGTCAAGGAATCCTAATACCTCGAACTTCACGCAAATCATTTTTAATTGATTATTTGTCCTTTTGCAAGAGTATTGATATAGATATGTTGAATTCTATAATTTCTATAGGATTTTCAAATTTATATAATCAATTTCTATTGCAGCAAGAAATTTACAAACTTTTAATGAGGAAATGTCCTGAATTAAAGTATTTGAATATTAAATCAATTAAACATCAAATATTTTATTTTCCGGAAGCAAAGACTAAATTTGAATCACTTTTTGAATTAAAATGTGATACAACTATTGATATTTCATACTTTTATGGACTAGCACATAATTGTCAATATATACAAAGACTCATTATTATAAACAATAAATTAAATATCAATCATGGAACGGTGAAATTAATTGAAAATCAAAGAAATTTAAAATATTTTGAGTGGAAGGATGATTTTGAAAATGATGATATTGTAGAATATCCTTATATAGAAATTTTTCTTGTATTAGAAAAAAAAGCTGATGTTCTTAATCATTTAATATTATCAACTCCGATCATAAAAAATGTACTCACAAAATTTTATAAATTAAAAACGTTGATAATCAACGACTATGTTCCTTTTTCTGAAGACCAATTAAAAATGTCAGCATATCGTGAACTTGAAACTTTTAATATTGATTTTATTTCATTAAATGAAGCTTCTATTATAATTGAAAATAGTGGAGGACATATCAGAGAAATTCTATTAAGATACATTGATTATGAATATTGGTATGATAATCTTGTTGAAGATTCTCTTAATTTTATTTGTAAAATCTACCAAAATTGTCCTTTGATTGAATATTTGTCATTATTATTTCCATCAACAACAGATCATTTCATTGAATTTGAAAAGTTATTAAAAGGTTGTCAAATTTTGAAATCTCTATTACTAAATATACCAAATAATGATAAAGAAGAAACTGGAGATGAATTATTAAAAATATTAATTAGATCAGCACCAACCAATCTAAGAGAAATTAGATTTTTTAACGATTTTAAATTTTCCTTGAATAATTTGGAGAAATTCTTTAAAAATTGGAAAGATCGCCCTGCGCTTTCTATACTTACAACTGATCCTATATATAAGGGAGATGACTATATGAAACTGATCAATAAATACAAAGACAATGGAGTAATTAAAGAATTTAGATGTGATTCTAGAAATGATGATATACAATATTAAATTTAATCATAACCACATACAGTATTTATATTAAATATGTGAAAGGTTCTTATTTAGCCTGAAGAAAAGAATGCCGAAAATTTTGTGTTATATGTCTAACTTTAGTTGTAGTTATTTTCTTAATTAATTTGATGATCGTACTAACCATGAAATTCAAAATATGGTTAGTCTGAGGCCAAATATGGTTTAGATCTTTCCGAGATTTTTTATTCATATACTTGAAGCTTCAAGTATTGGATCTGCAGTCAGCTTTTTTACGGATGGTGGGTTAATATATATGAAAAAAAAAAGAGTGACAATAAAAAAAAATCAATTTGATGAAAAAAAAAAATGATCAACATAATATGTAATAAAATGATGATAGACATAAATAATTACGTAATTATATGATGATGATAATTATATAATAAACATTTATAATATGATATGAAAAATTTTGATGTTTCGTAATAATTACCATTCACTTTCATTTTTTATTTACTAATAAATAAAAAAAAAAAAACAAAAATATATATATAATATTTCTTAAATAATATTTCTTAATAAAAAAAAAACAATATAATAAGAATTTTTTTGTTGTATGATAAATAATGATAAAATAATTATTATGTAAAAATATTTCCTTATAAAAATTATTTATTATAAAAAATGATTTCATTTTTAATTAACAACGCTTATACAAATATCTTTTTAAAAAACCAATAAATAAGATACATTTAAAAATTTTTACCATAAAAAAAAATAAATTTTCATTTTTTTTTTAATTATAATAATTAAAAAATAATAATAATAAATACTATGCCAGCAAAGCTCACCTTTATCTGTGTAATTCACTCAGTTGTTGAACGTGATAGTAATAATTTTATTGTGAAAGAAGCTATTGTTGTTGTGAAAAAAGAAGATAATACAACAATGAACCTAAAAGTTATTGCCTTTTTTCCAAAAAATCCTTCAGTTCCAAAGTGGATTCCAGATTTTACGTCTGGTGACATACTTAGATTTACAGGAAAATTTGCTTTTTGCAAAGAACCCCCTCATAATGATATTTTAGAGGTAATTTATAAACTTTCAAATTAAATTATTTAAAATAGAAAAAAAAAAATATTTATTATGATGATAAATAAATTTAATTTTTATTTATTTTAATAAAAAAATAAAATAAAAATAATTAGGTAACAGCTATCGAAAGATGATCTTCCGATTAGTTCAATTTCAGTTTTTCTTATAGGTTACATTTCAACATAAGTACAAAGTAATGATGATTTATTTAAAAGTATTAAGTTTACTATCACTGAATTTGTTGGAAGAAGGAGTGTTGGCGAGAAATTTAATATTAAATGTAGATATTTAAAGACAGATGAAAGAATTGATAATAAGGCAAAAAAAATCAGAAAAAATCCAAATGTTATGATATTGGAAGAAATGATTTTAGTTAATTCTGAATTCCAAGTTGAAATTCAAGATATAAATTTTATCACTATGACGAATACTAATATTGGAAGCTTGACAGATAATTCAATATCTTCTCTATATTCTTGGTTAACTACATCTTCAAGAAGATTATCGGCACAATCAATGGCTAATAACAAAAATCTCACAAATATTTCATCAGATGTTCAAGCCACAGATTCTAATAATGAAGAACTGTCACATTCAAACGATAAACTAGAACCAAATAATGAATTAAACATTGATAATAAAAATATAGATAACGATCCTACCTCCTCAAATAATAATAAAAATAATAATAGTAATAGTAATAAAAGAGATAGGAAAAGAACTAGGAAATAATAAAGATATAATTATATAACATAGATTTAGGTTTACATACACAATATTACTTATTTTTTTTATACATATATTTCCAGAATTTTTCTTATTACATTTAATTAATAAAGTAATTCACCGATTTGTTAAACTAAAAAAAAAAAAATAATCACTATAAAACTTTGCATTTTTTTTTTTTATATTTTATTTATTGCCGTTTTCAAAATAATTAAAATTAATGATCTGCAATATAATGATCAAAAACACTAAAAAAAATACAAAAAAGTATATTGAAAAACAAAAAAATGTGTAATGTATATCATGTAATACAAGATTACAAAATCTCAAGTTTTTTTACGCATATTAATTAAAAAAATATAGTGTTATGATGAAAATTTTAGACCTAAAGTTATAAAGAAACGAAAATTTTTTTTCGTATATGAAATTTTTTTTTGTGTTACATAATCAGCATTTTTTTTTTTAAATAGTAACGCGTTTATTAATTAATATAATTTTTATAAAAATTTACATAATTAAATTGAAACACTTAGAACTTGGAAATTAATTTCCAGACCCTATAACTAAGTATTTTTCGAACTATAACTAAAATCTATCTAAAAATTAAAATAATTAAAATTTATAAATCTATCTAAATAATCCGATCGCTATTTTAACTATTGTATTCCAAGATTTAGCTATATTAATACCATCTGTAATTGATCCTTTCATTTTGTCCAACGTTACTAAATTAATTTGTTTATTTTTTGTTATTTTTTCTTTTCTATCTAATTTTTCCTGTGTTTTTTTCTTTTTTCTATTTTCTAATTCTGCATCCAAAATTTCATCTATATTATTGTTTTGTTTTTCTCTTTTTCTTTTAAGGTCTGATTTGTTTATTTGCTCTTTCTCTTCTAATCTTTTGATTTCTTCACAACGTGAAATCCATATTCAGTTTTTTATCTTTTCATATGTGAAAATCCAAAGATCTTTAATCAAAGTTTTCTCTTTTTTATCTTTCGATAGGTCGTCAAACTTCTTGTTATATATTCCTCTGATCAGTTCCCATTTTCTACTTTTTTCCAGTAAAATTTCTGATCTACTTTCAAGTATATTTATAAATTCACAATTATAATTTCTCAATATTTCTACTTCTTCGTTTTTATTGGAGCTAGTTTATTTTCGAACCTATATGGTGACTCTCGTATAATGTCATCGATTGAGAATTCATTGTCTTCGCATAACCAAATATGTTCCCAATCTTCTATTTCTTTTTTTCCACATCATATACATCTATCGGTATTGATCTTATTAGTATTTCTTCTGTATAAGGTTTTATAAGTGGGTTGTGCTTTTAATAAGTTTTTGATTCTATAAAAGCGTTTGATCATGTCTTTGCCACCACATTGTCTTTGTGATAAACTAATTCTATTGCTGATAAACTCTAGATTCATCACCCAATCAAATTCTTTTTTATAATTGTACATAAATAAATCTTCCAATTTCTCACTGTTCAAAATTTCATTTTTCTATGTTGCATTCGTAATTAATTTTCTTCACAATCTGAAGCCTCCTGTGATTAGTCTATTATTCCAAAACAGGTTGTATTCATTTGTTATCAAGGCTTCGTTTATTAATGTAAAATTATATTTTATCATTTTAATTACGTTATCATCTTTTAGCATTTCTCGTATATCTTTTCATTTTTCTTTCATGACTCTGTATATTTTTTCGTTTCCTTCAATTAATTCGATGTTATTTGTTTCTAAAAAATTTTTAATAAATAACAATTCTAGATAATAGTCATTATCTATCTTTTTTCTGTTACTAAAATTGTTAATAAATTCGACGATTAATCTATTAACTTTTTCGTTTACCCTAGAATTACCTCACTGTTCTCGCTAATGATTAAGCTTCCCACTACAGTGACACCTCTCTAAGTGCACCCTCCTTGGGACCATAGTAAAAAAATAGTAGAATGTGCACTTAGAGAGGGTAGGGTGTGCATTTATAGAGAGTAAAATATTAAGAGCTCTTATAAGTTAGGACCAGGCCCACCGTGCACTTAAAGAGAATTTATATAGTGCGTGCACTTATAGAGGGTGCACTTATAAAGATGTCACTGTATTATACTTCTTAAAATAATTTTAAATTCATTTTCGTTATTACATACATGATTTGCTAAAAATATTAATTCATCATTTAAATCTTCTTCGAGGTCTGCACTTTTAATTTTCCAGATTATATTATAACGATAAATTCTTTTCCCTTTATCGTTTAGTTTTAAATACAACTTGAATACTGTATAATGTATAATGTATATCATACGTTTCTAAATCAATCTCAAGGATTTTTATACCAATTCATGAGGAAGAAATTTTTTTTTTTTGAAAAAAAGAATAAATCGATTAAAAGATCATTAATATTCCCATCGACCATTTAAATTATTGATTTGCTCTCTTGGACTAAACGAGATACTGTATTATTAATCACGCTGACCGTTTAATGTTATCCCTGGATATTGGTAATCTGATTTTGTCTGTAAGAGGTTAATATTCTTTCAACGAATCAATCGAATAATGGTTTGAAATAAATAAATAAATTATTGATTTATGCTTCTAAATAAAGCAAAGTACTTTCTAAAATAAATATAAATTATTCATTTTCATAATAAAATTTTAACACAATATTTTCGACTTATGATTAATAATCAGACTTTATGGAATATTTGGAGCAACCAATTACCCGATTACCCCGTATGAGGCTATCATATTACAAAGACACAAATAAATAATAGCTCTAACTTATTTAAAGTTAATAATAAATATACATTCGTCATTAATTATAATATAAATACTATATCACGCGATGATTTTATGAGATTAATTCAAGTTTAACTAAATAAAAAGTACATACACAGTATCTTTGTAATGGGATCTAACAACGAAAGTTGATAAAAAAAGGAGATTCGTTATCAAAGTTACAATCTAAATCGTACAAATAAATATAATAATGAAACAGAACTCAAAATAGAATGTCGATCTGTTAATTTGTCAGACCAAATATCTTGCATATTAGATGACTAACCAACAGCATAGTCTGATAAATCTTAAATTGACCCAAGTCAATAAAAAATCAGGAGGCTTACAGGACATAATTATCCAATTGTCCGATTATCCGATTAAGTAAACGGATATTAACTTTGGTCAATCAATGATTTACAAGATTATACTGCGGGATATGTATGGATTGACACACTAGATCAAAAAAGGTTAAAATAAAGCCTTCAAATATTTATTTCGCAGAATATTACTAATCATCCGTGCACATAATAGGTTTTTTTTATTAATTATTTAGGTTAAATGTAATTTTACGCCGTTATGCTGATCATTTTTGATCCGGTATAATCATGGGGAAATGATTTCTTTGGAAATGATAAGCAATTTATTGATGATTAGTGATTAATGCACCAAAAATTTTAAATGATTTTAAATGATAAAAGGATATTATTCTTGGATAAATATTTTAAACTTAATTATAAATTTGGTAATGAAAAATTTTGATCATGCGAGATTAAGATGATTTTTCCAAAGTTCGTCTTTGCTACTTTTAAATTAAGTTGGTATAAACGCATAAACGATTTTTCCAGGTTAAGAAAAATTTAAGTATTTAAAGCGCTTAAAGTTATTGAAGAATTTAATTTTATGTCTTTTTATTCTCATTTTTTTAAAAAGATGTCTTTTCTTCGTGAACTTGGTAAAACTGGTGTGAAAATCCCTGCAATCGGTTTAGGATGCATGGTGTGTCCCCATACTTACTTCATAGTTCATAATTACTTACGTATCACGTGATTCTAATATAATTTTCTTTTTGATTGGGAAGGGCATGAGTGAATTTTACGGCTCAGCTGATGAAGAGGAGAATATTAAAGTATTGAATCGATCAATTGATATGGGATGTACCTTATGGGATACTGCTGTTTGTATTTAAATCCTTCTAAAAATTTTATGATTTTTTAATATTAATTAAATAATAAAAAACGGAATATCGCAAATTTTGGTAATATAAAGGATTTATATGGATCTGGAGCCAACGAAATCCTTCTTTCAAAAGTTCTTAAAGAACGCCGTAATGAAGTTTTTCTTTGTACAAAGTTTGCATTCTCTCGAGGACCAAATGGTGAATTTAATGTATCAGGTAAACCTGAATACGTTCGTCAAGCTTGCGAAAACTCTTTAAAGAGATTAGGGGTAGACTATATCGATCTTTATTATCAACATCGTGTGGATCCTAATACGTAAGTTTGCTTGGGACTTCAAACGGAGAGAACCAATCGTAATGCAAGCGCAATAAAAAATGAATTATTTGTTTTTTACATTTTTAATAGACCTATTGAAGATACTGTCAGTGCTTTAGCAGAACTTGTTAAAGAAGGAAAAATTAAATATATTGGTCTTTCTGAATGTTCTGCAAAAACTCTTCGACGTGCTTATAAAGTTCATCCTATTGCCGCAGTTCAAGTAATTATTTATTATATCGACATATTATTTAAATATTAAATTATTAAAACATTATTTTTTTTTTTTAAGATGGAATATAGTCCTTGGACTCTTGATATTGAAAAAAGTGGAATGTTAGAAGCTTGTCGTGAATTAGGTGTTACTATAGTAGCTTATAGTCCACTAGGGCGCGGCTTTCTAACAGTAATTATTCCCTTTATTAAAATGTGTTATATGAAAAAAAAAATATATTTTAACTTCAATAAATTTTAAATTACTTTTAGGGAAAATTTAAATCTATTGATGATTTTGAACCAAATGATTATAGAAGAACAGTTCCACGTTTTCAAGGTGAAAATTTCAATAAAAATTTGGAACTTGTTAAAAAATTCAATGAATTTGCGATTAAGAAAGGTGTAACTGCGGGCCAACTTTGTTTATCTTGGGTTTTAGCTCAGGTTAATATACTTAATAATTTAAAATATGATATTGTATAAATAATTTTCTTAATATATATTTATATAATTTTTATATATATATATATATTGTAGGGTGACGAGTTTGTTACTATTCCTGGTACCAAAAGAGTTAAATATTTAGAAGAAAATTTTGAAGCAGGAAAAATTCAACTTAGCCCTGAAGAAATATCAGAAGTTAGAAAAATTATTGATTCTATTGAAATCGTTGGTAATAGAAGTAATGACCGAATTTTGAAGGTAAATGAATTAATAATTATTTAAGCATATGTTAAAACTTTTTTTTTTTTTATTTAATATATTAACAATTTTGTCTAAAAATGCAGTATTTGGATAAGGATGTTTAAAAAAATGTCATTCTAATTATGAATGATTATATTAAATAAATTTTCATGTTCACCTTAATAAATAAATCGTTATGATCATCGTTATGTGATAAATTTTATAAATAAAAAAGATTTTATGATTATTTTATGTTATGGAAAATTATTCTCACTTTCCTGATTCATGAAATGAATGCAAATGATACTCGCAAATTCCAAACTCGAAACTATATTGCATGATTGTATTTAATTATTCCTTAAATGAGGAAATGTCGAAAGTCGTGTTATATCACGTGATTTTAAAATTCATTGCCCCCTACGAACACGCCCCTTGAAATATAATTAAAAATTACTATAAAACATATAAAATTTACAATTTTTAGCATACAATTAATTAAATAATTTTTAAATCTAAGATTTTTTTAATAAAACAATGTTAAAATTTAAATACAAAAAAAATTTTAGAAACGGTGTGACCAAATCTAAAAGAATTTTTTATTATTTGTCCGGAGCGTAGTGATTGACAATCTATTGTTATGTCCTTTTCCAATAAAATTTTCTGTAATAAGAATTTCAATATATTCTTTAAATAATAAATTATTAATTCGTTAATACAGTATAAATTTTCATTTTAAAGATGTTTAATTAATAGGAAAGGAAGAATACATGATAATTTGAATAAAAAAAGCTGATATGGAGAAAGAAATATATTCAAGCCGAATAACTATTAAGTATTTATCATTATCATCCTTATCATTAGAAACCATTTAACAGCGTGAAATTATAATGTGACATTTATTATTAGTCATGCACTCTATATAAATAATTTTGAATCGTGTAACGACTGTAACGTGGCGCCTGATCTGGTTGATATCCCCGGTAAGTTCTACTANAAAATTAACTAAACATTATCATGTAATTTAAATTACTACGTGTGGTTTTTTTTTTATTTAAATCAGCAGATTTTTTTTTTTGATTCGTTACATTTGTCAATTTTTTAAAAATCGTCGATATTAAAGGACTACGTAAGCTAAATCTTGTAATGAAGGAAGGAAGAAAAGAAAACTGCATGAGTTACAGATCAAATTGTCTAGTACATAACAATAGAATGACCTTCGCTATACTCTGGACAATAATTAGAATACACACTTTTTAGAGCTTCATTCCCTATGATTATTCCTTTATTGCAAATTAATTGAAAGAAGCCGATTTCCCTTATAATGATAAAACTTTCCTTCATTAGCAATTCACCATCTAATTTATTTAAGGTTTTTTCACATCATTTTTATATAAAAGCAAGATATGGAGAAAAAAATATATTTCAAGCCGAATAACTATTAAGTATTGATCATTATCATCCTTATCATTAGATTATAATGTGACATTTATTATTAGTCATGCACTCTGTATAAATAATTTTGAATCGTGTAACGACTGTAACGTGGCGCCTGATCTGGTTGATATCCACGGTAAGTTCTACTAATACTAATAAGTAATAATTTAAATTAACTTAATAATCTAGGATCCTTTCTTTATTACTAATAAAATTACAGTAGTATTAACAGCTAATTTATTTAGTTTAGTAGCTTCAGGATGAAATTAGCGTTGTGAATTTTATGGAGCGAATATAATTCAATATTAGGTAGGATCTATTTAGTTTTATAACTAAAGTAAATATTTTTTCACTTTATTTAATTTCTGTTAATAAAATTTTAATCGATAGGGTGAATAATCCCTAATTATCTGGCTAATCGATTTTTAAGATATAAAAAGGAAATTTACGTTCATTTTTTTCGGTCAGATTTCATTTAATTCAATTCTATTTATTTTTAAAAAAATATTTGCATGTACTAAACATATTTATCAATTATCAATAACTAACGTGTTCGATATTGAAAAAACATACTGTATTAAAAGGTTATTTTTATGCCAGGGCGACTTACGGTATTTCGCGCCACATCATACAATCTCAAATTCATCTGATCGAATCTCAGATAGGATCATCGGGATTCTGTGACTGTCAGGATTTTGATTCAATCGGGATAATCGGGATTTGCATTTATCGGGATTTTGGTGTTGAGATTATAATCTGTAGATATTATGATTTTTGGGATGATTTTCATTTGATCTCCTGAAACTATGGAAAGCCGTCCTTGACAAAAGGTTGATATCCAGACATCATGTTGGATAATGTCTAGAGCATCATGTCAAATATATGTAGAATAATGTTTGTACATCATTCAACAAGCATCAACCGACATGATGTCTTAGACATCATGTTACCAAATAAAATATACTATATTTGGTAATTTGATCAGCATGATGTCTAGACATCATGTCGGTTGATGTCTTTCACATGGTTACGGTACATTTCGCCGAAAGCCATTTCGTCGAAAGGACGTTTTGCCGAAAAATAGGCCAACATTATGCAGAATTATAAGCCAGAGATTATTTTTCGGCGAAATGGCTTTCGGCGAAATGTCCCGATACCGTTTCTGATCACTGTGATCAAATATAAATGATATACTGCAAATCAGTACTATGGTATCTTGATTTAAATTAACTTTTCTCCCTCTATTTAAGGTAGTTTAAACACATACAGTATGTATATTCAATTTTAAAAAAGAGAAGGAGTGCTTTAAACATACTGTATGTGTTTAAATTACCTTTGAAATTTCAAAAATAGAGAGAGAAAAGTTAATTTAAATCAAGATACCATAGTACTGATTTGCAGTATATCATTTATATTTCCTAACAGGGATCACAGTGCCCTCTCTCAAAAATAAGTTTTTTCAGAGAAAGAACCAATCATAGGCTCAGAAGTAAAATCAACTAAATATTATTTCTAATCTTTTTTCGGATCTAGACATGTGGTGAGTAAAAAGTATCGCACACGTCTGGCGCAGGGACGATGATTTTATGATGTGCTCAAACATAAATTATGTATGTGCTAAAATTAAAATATGTGATTTAATTTTTTTCAAAAATTCTCACATTATGTGATATTATTTGGTGAAATATGTATGTTATTTGTAAAAAATTGCTTTATCCAACATTAAAATGCGAATTTATTTTTAATAACAAGAAACATAACATTACATGATGATGATTAGAACCTTTGGAAAAACTGGTATTTTGCTGAAAACTTTGAAAAAAACTTGTATTTTATTGCGGATTATGCGTTTCAATACAAGAAGATTCAAATTATGTGATTTTATGATGCGATTAATTAAAATTATGTATTTACCACATAATTATTCGTTTTATGTGATATTATGCAATCACATAAAATCATCGTCCCTGGTCTGGCGGAGTCCTCCTTTATATTTGTTTACAGTTCCTTTTTCCTTATAGAACTTCACGAGTTCTTCACGTTCCTTTGAATTATTGTTGAAAAAAAAAACCCATTTTTAAAAAGAAAAAAGGGGTAAAACGTTATTAATTTATTTATTTTATTTCTAAAAGAGTAGTGAATCTAAGACTATTACAAGGGGTAAAACGTTACAATTAATGCCAAGACTTTTTATTATGATCATTTATGTCACGTGACTTAATAATGAATTTCTGTATATATAGGCCAAAATTTTATTATAAGTTGAGAGTTAGAGTCGTATGGTAAAATATTAATTTACTTATAAAAAAATAGTATTTATTAATTATGATGTTCGTACAAAATTTAGGATTATTGATAATTTTATTATCTCTTATCAATACTTCCTATTCATATCTCTATCCCCAACATAGAGTAGCGTTTAATCCACGAGGATATGTTTCGACTATAAATAAAATATGCATTCATTGGTTCGATTATCATCAAAATGAGATATCGAGTGATTGCAACATAACAGCTGATGAACCTTCATCAAAGACATCTCCAGCAAATTGGTCAATAGGATATTCTCTCTCTATACATACAGAGGATGGTACACTTCATAATGAACCATATTTTTGGTGGGATGGCTGGGTAAATGGGATATATTGTAACGATATACATTTACATTTAATAGAAGGTGGTCTTGTTCTTAAAGAATCTTTTAATTTGACTATAGTTTATGATAAATGTTTCTGGGAATAATAAATCAGATGATTGATTACTATTGGAAGAATTCACAGAAGTAATTGTATTTGTTTTAGTAATATATCCTGTAGTTTAGATAACAGAAGGTATTTTTCTTATTAAGTAGAAAAACAAATAGTTTAATTTTCTGTATAAAAATATTTGAAATCAAATCAATTATCTATATCTATTATATAAATTACCTGACTTGTTATTTGTGTTTTGTGAACAGATTATGATTTATAATTTTGTTATATGATTTTTAATCAATAAAAAAGAATACAACATAATTTGTATTCCGACTTTATCATTTGATTCTTTAGTTTGGAAAAAATTTCTTGGAATAGATAAATAGTGTGATACGTATATAATATTTGCTTGTACGAATTTATATTTACTTAAAATATAAATTTTAAAAAATAAAAACGTTCATCTTTTCTGTCTTTTCTATACGATTATTAATAATATAAAAATCCAAATGAATGGAATATCTGGATTGAGGAAGCTAGTATTTCTAAAGAGTATTTTATATATTATGAACAAAAACATTTTAGCGATTTTCAGGCGCTGTGATGATTTGGAAAAGTTTATCGTGCAATTTGGAAGAATTCAGAACAATATTTAGTATTGAAATCTTTTTTTAATCTCGAATATTTTGAAATAAATTAAATGCAATATTTAATATTCGTATTATAATTATGTACAAATTCAAAATTTATAATATTTACATTCTAGCTCAAGTTTCAACGGGATATACAATTTCATAATAACATCATTAAATTCTACGGAATCGCAAGATTTGACCAGGTGTGATAAAATATTAAATTATAAAATTCAATGTTTAGTTGTTTTATTACAAAAATACAAAAATGTAATCTAATAAAAGTAATTATTCATTTTATTCGCGAATCGCGATTAGAAAATTAAAATTCTCAATCAGCATAGTGATGAAATATGCTGATTCTGGTACTCTTAAAATAATATTACTTGGAATGATAAATATAACTTTGCGTACCAATTAGCTTGTGCCGTTTAAACTTTACATAATGAAGGAATCGTGCATCGTGATTTGGTAATTTATTTTAAAATTATCCGCTTTTTGGATTGTCAAGAAAATTGAATCAGCGTCCAACACACAATCAAAACTTTTTGGAATAATACCTTACGCTGATCAAAAGATTTAATGGACGAAGAATGAATAAAAACTCAAACACA